AAGATGACCAGGAACACAATTAACAACTGAGTAAGAAAAAACGGCTTTAAGTCCTCTCCGGGTGACTTAGCAATGAGGAATAGTGCCTTACCAAAATATAGCCCGTCAATTATAACTTAGTCTCGAGCCCAGGAATCCTCGATTATAAGACCACTGCCCTTTACCACTGAGCCATCACGCCTGTTTTGCTTGTTCCGGTTTAATTTCTTATTTTGTTGACTCGATTTTTATGGATGGAAATGCTGAGAGCCAGTTCATGACTTATGAAAAGCGAAGGTTTTCTTTTATACGATGTACATGTATACCATTTAAGGGAACAGCTCAATGTTGGATAGCCAGGCAGAGATTATATCTGACAACCTGACACGAGCTAATAACCTTGATGATTCTTAATTGAAAACGTTGCCAGTATACAGTCACTCACATTACGCGGTGTATGGCGGGAGTTGCATGATACGGCTGTCCAGAGATGTTCCATTTTGGTACTGCCATCGGCTCTATCATTGGACATACCAGAAAACAAACAAAGTTGCATTTATATTCAGTACTTCACTCATCCATATCATTTTAATCCGATTTAAATCGGGTTAATGTGCAAATATTACGCAGTGAATATACTTTTGTCTTAATTAGCTTGGCCAGTCCTATTTCGTGAGAGATTCAGATTCATCGAAGTCCATGAATTTGGATCTCAACTAGTCTATATTATTGCATTTTAAAGAGTATCATCACAATGAATGAAAGTACGGAACCAGATCTTTTTGCACATCATCAATTTGCTGGCAAAATAGTTGTCATGGTATGTATTACTCCTTTCTTACCTTGCATCGTCGTCAGCAACGTCCTGTTAGTGTTAGCAGTTTACAGACAGTACAGCCTCCGAACACCAACAAATGCCATTATTGTGAGCCTCGCTATCTCTAATCTCCTCGACGCCCTAGTTGGGATTCCACTGAATGTGTATGCAACAGTCTTTAAATTCGATGCATGGTGCTTCGCTGAAGAAAATACTCCTTACTATACTCTACCCTTGAATGCACTATCTGGTGTTTCGTTTTGTCACATTGTGGCGTTGACTGCAGACCGATTCATAGCTGTTACGAAGCCGTTGCGTTATGCCAGCCTGATGACGTTTAGACGCATTGCCATTGTCCTGGGATGTCTTTGGCTTTTTTGTATTTTGTCTAACACCGCCCGATCTGTTATCTTAGCGCATGGATCACATACAAGTCAAGACCAGAAAGAAACGGACTGTGGGGCTCCACTAACTGGGAAATTGAAAGTAACCTTCACCTGGTTGTTATTTTGTGTGACCGTGATTTCAATGGTTGCGCTGCTTGCCATCAATGCTTTGATTCTTCACATCGCAGTGAAACAAGCGAGAAAGATTGCGAGTCAAAGAGTGATCATTCAGTTCCAACAGCAGCAACTCCCAGTACAAGATGGCCGATTGAAAGCATTTAAGACTATCTCCCTTGTCGTGACAGCCTCCATTATCTTCTGGTTCCCGCTTCCCCTGTATCTTATAGTATGGCTTACAACGTACCTATCACCTTTTACTGTTATGGTACAAAATAATTCCTTCCTGGTGTTGCATACAATAAGTTTGGTTTTCAATCCTATCATCTACGGCTTCAGAGATCGGGCTTTTCGAAAGGCCTTTCAGAATATCTTGCGTCAATTGTGAATAATGATAAAGTAATTTTTATATAGCGCATAACGTAGTAATCTTTCATCGTCGTCACCCTTCTGACGCCATTTTAGAGTGTGATCTATCCATTGTCACATAAAAGGAGCACCATTTGTCCTGGAAGTATCTTTACATTTATAGAAAAACATTTATTCATTTTAACGTGAGAGCCTACTGACCACAAACCTGACCGAGGGCCTGTCAGAAGTAGCCAAAGACAGGCGCGGATTCAAGGGGGGGGGGGGGGCGCGAGTGGGCCTTGACCCCCCCCCCCCCCAGCCAAAAAGACGAACCCCCTGGCAAAAAATGGTGACCAGAAATTTACCTCTTTTTGGGAGAGTCAAGGCAGGGGGGGATAATGAGTATAAAAAAATCTCTCACTATGCCCCCACCCCCACTGAGCGAAATATCGGCCGGCGTGATTTCAATTTTTCGGGGGCAAAAAAGAAGAAAAAATGGTGCTCACTACCCAACGCCCTCCCCCCATGAGCGAATATCGGCGGCCGACGCGATTTTCAAATTTCCAGGGGCTAAAAAAGAAAAAGAAAAAAAAATGTGCTCTCCATCCCCCCCCCCCCTCCCCCACTGAGCGAAATATCGGCTGGCACGATTTTCAAATTTCAAATTGATTTCAAATTTGGGCCTCTCCCCTTAAAAAATCCTGGATCCGCGCCTGTCGATCAGGGCTGGCTTAGAAGCTGAATATAATGTCGACGTTATTCACTACTGCCATATATCAGACTAGTAAGTATTATGTGTGAAATATGAGGGTATCAATCAATCTCTGAAATGACCATTATATTGACAATTTAGACGTCGATAGGACCACTAGACCTATATTTCCAAGTGATGTATCACCTTAATAATAATAATAATAGTGGGTTCTTGTATAGCGCTCATGTCAGTCAGATTTGACCCTCCTGGCGCTCCCGATTATTACCCTGGCTTATGTGTATAGAAAGGAGAAATACATAGCGATAGAAAAAAAAGCTGCAAAATAAAGAAGAGGGGGGGGGGAGAGAGAGAGAGAGAGAGAGAGGAGGGGAGGGGGCGGAGGTGGGGGGGGGGGGGGGAGAGCAATGGTCCGCCAGGTGAGAAGAATTCGGAGGAAATCTGACGAAAATGAATGGACAAGTGTTGAAATCAATTGACCTTTTACCAAATTGAATGACAAAAGACTGTGGCAGATTGTCACCGTGTGTACGATTTGCTTAACATTTCCACAGTTGTCAAAGAATTTTGAGACCAGTCTAATGCTCCTTAAAGTTACTGTAGGTCTGCTCTTCTCTGGATGTCACTGGTTCAGTACACTTTTTCCGGGAAACTACAGGTAGGCCAAGCATAATGTAATTGCCCTACCTAGCAACAATTAATAATTATATGCAATTTGCATTCTGATTATTGAAATAAAATTATTTCTAACAGGTGAATAAAATAATTTGTAACATGAATCTTAAAGGCTAATTCCACTCAAAAAATGATTTGCTTTATATAGATGCAGACAAATAAGAAAAACAGAGCAAAAAAGATTTGAGTAAAATCGGATAACTAATAAGAAAGTAATGAATTTAAAAAAAAAAGTATGAACAACTATAAATGATGGAGATCACTAAACAAAATAATTGCCAATTTGGTTATCAGTTTGTGACGTCATTGCCTCACTTTTTATCAATTGCTTTATATATTTTTATCCCATTAATTTCCCTTTTTATCCCCCAAAACTTGATTTCCCCATGACATTTCCCAAAATCTTTTATGAACTTTGAAGAATTGATACTACTTTCTGAATATTGTATATTCATAATCATTGATTTTTATATAAATAGTTTTTAAATTCACATTTTACATGGAAAATATAATAATTTAACTAAATATGATAATCTACAATCGTGCATCCACACAAAACATATAAATATCAAAAAAACTTGGATCCTGGTGTGAGGAATTAAGATTCTTAGGGGGGAAATGGGAAATTTATATTATCAATATAAAGAAAACAATTAGTGAATAGTGAAGCAATGACGTCATAGACTCATGAGTGAGTTGCCAATTTGTCTTGTGATTTTCAAAGTTGTTCATGTCATTAAAAAATCGTAACTTTCTTATTCGTTATCCGATTTTGCTCAAACTTTTTAGGATTGGTTTGTCTGATTTGTCTGCTTCTATTGGAAGTAAATTATTTTTGGAGTGGACTTGCCCTTTAACAAAGATTTATGCATCAAATTTGATTACGTAACGAAAGTGGCCAATAATTTTATCTCAATAAATCAGAATGCAGTTTGTATATATTATATTTTTGTAAAGTGGGGCAAAGCCTAAGGTTCGTCCTACCTAGCAACAATGAGTGAATAGAACTCGCATTCTGACTTCTGAAATACAATGATATATAACAGGTGAAAATTCATGCGAGATTTTGCTATCTTTCATCGAAAGCAGACGAGTGATTACATAAAAATGCGGAGATAGAGGATGTAAATTAACACGCGTAGTATTGTGGCGTAACCGGGCTCTGCCGGGGTAGCGTTCTGCCTTGCAGTCTCTCAAAACCCGGTTCACGCTCTCGACAATCATTCATCGACTATATCTCTCAGTGGGCTCTCACAAAAGTATATTGTGTAAGAAATAACGTGGACTAGCTCTCATTTTACTCACTCCCGCAATCACTGAATGTCTGACAGGACTAAAGAAACAACACTTGCACAGTATCTTCAGTTCAAGTAACTTTACTCGTTCCTGGTAACGGACCTGTCGCAACGACAGCCCGACGCTGACTCACAGATCACAACTATATAGAACCTGCCCCAACGGCAGCTAAGCGCCGACTCCCTGACATCTCACGATGTACACATATATATTTCACAATTAACTATAACGCCCTCTATGTCTTACTAAATTACTGGACTAGTTATGCTACAGTATCTTAAATTACATTATCGTTATGTAGACCGAGTAACGCCTACTCTCTCTCTCTCTCTCTCTCTCTCTCTCTCTCTCTCTCTCTATCTCTGTCTCTTTCTGTCTCTCTCGTAATATTTCTCTCCTCTCTCTCTCTCTCTTTCTCTCAATTCTTCTCTCTCTCTCTTCATCTTTCTCCCTCTCTCTCTCTCTCTCTCCCCCCTTCCCTTCTTTCTCTCTCTCTCTCTCTCCAATTCTCCTTTGATCTTCATTCTCCCCAATCCCTTCAATCTTTTCCCCCTCTCTCAATTACACACATCTCGCCCACAAAAACCAACGCACATGCTCACATCCCATCCTCTCCTTTTCATCTCATGCCACAGCGTTTACTATTCAAGCTATATATTGCCATTCATTTTGATCCTCAAATTGCGATGCTTTATTTTATCATTAATGATACAAGAAATAGATAAATGACCTATGTTAGGCCGGGCGATTGAAAATTCAAATTACTACCATCATTCTACAAACCAACACATCAAATAACAAATTCAGAAATACAAATGATAAAAAACAAGTTAATTACCTCAGAATAAATTACGTTTTATAACACCGATGTACTAACAAATTTATGGATGTTATTCCATTAACCTGTTATTTCATTTGCATGAAATTTGCATATGTCAGTAAACAGGTTTATTCTTTAGAAGACCACATAGAAATCTTGAATATTCAAAAGTAAAATTTGCATACCCATAACTGTTACACCATTTTTCTTGATTTTTCTAGTAAATACAATTGATAACCTATCATTACATATCGGTATTTTTAGACCTACGATAGCAATTTAGTTATTTTAAATGTAATACTAAACTTTAAAGGACCGTCATGCTATAAAGCTTGTTTAATATTGCACATATTCCCATACTGTTCTTAAACTGATTTTCTGGATGTCATGTCAGATCAACAAGATAACTTGAAATACAGACACAATAGAGAATAGCTAGAAAGGCCTAAACAAGATCTTACTTTATAATAGATGTTACAGATGTGAATCTAAGATAGATATTTGAAACTGAATTTGGCGCCCTTTTACCCGATGAAACCTTGCACCATACAATCATTGTTTCTTTAGCATGCCCCTCCGTTTCATGAATCCATTTAAACAAACAACGTTCCGATATCATTTCCAGTATTTCTATTTTTCCGTTTTATCCAATCTCATTACATTGTTTTATGTAATTATTGAATTGATATGTACTTCGATCATGTTTAGATATCTTCATTTTAAAAGGGAAATAAATAAATGAAACCAGACTTTGTTTGTCATGTGTGTTACATTACTGCTTATACAATTTACTGATTTTTATATCAAACTGTTTATCCAAGGAAAGATTTGCTCATCCAGTTACCATTCATACTCGTCCATTTTATAGAATCCCGTATTTAACCCCATTCTTTTTGTTGCATGTAATTTCGCTATTTTGACCTAGCAATAAGTTTAAAAATTGAAACCATTAACCCAGACATAGTCTAAAATGATAAAGTTGCAGTCTCACAAACTTTTTTCTTCGGCTGTCCATTTCAGTTGACGTTCCGTTACAATGCAGTGGAATTCTGACGGAACGGGTTTTCTACCATAAACTCAGCGTTGCCATCCTCCATGAAGTTCTCCCACAGCTCTGTCTCCTCCTCCTCCTCCTCCTCCTCCTCCTCTTCATTCATCCTCATCATCTCTCTTCCAATCATCTTCGCGATATCGTGCATGAACTTTGGACCGGATGGTGGTCCCTTCTCGATTTTGCTCTCGAATGTGGGGTAAAGAACCTTCTTGAGGGGGTTACATTTACCCCCTCCTACCAGTGATGCCCCGCAGGTGATGGGGTTTAGTATCTTGTTGAAGCACATGCGTATCTCCCACAGGTACTGGATCTTCTTCCTCTCCTGTTACCATGGTAACCAAAAAAAAAAAAAATCTCGTCATTTGATTCATTGATTGAAAAGACATTATTGAAATTTAAAGATAACGTTGAGTTCTGGTCATCCGATTGCATTGTGATTACATCTTTCTGTGTACAGTACTTGTTACTTTACCTAGACTGGGCCACATTCGTTATGATTTTGATGACTCTGGAACCTTGCAGTATACACACCAATAAGGGAGTTTATAGATCTGCGCATGGGCAGATAAAGGTCATTTGTACCAAAATGGTAAAACCCACATAGATGAATACTGGATATGCGCTCATGAAAGTTATGTAACATTATTCATTTATGCACCAACGGTATATTCTATGATACGCAGGTGGAAGTATTCTTTTCAAGAGGTCAAACAAAAGGTATTCATGAAGCACATCTAGGACTTTGGCAGTTATTATTCTAAGATGCTCAAAGTGGAACTTCTCCATGTGTAAAAGATCCGTGGATATTTGGGGTCATTTGTACCATGTGCTATCTGTAAACTCCCTTATACTTACATGCTACATGATCAACTTTTTCTGATCCATTCCACACCCTTCCTTTCACAATGCAATCGGATGACCAGAACTCACCTTTATCTTTAATACTTAACGCTATACACTTCGATATCACATAATGTGTAAACATTTTCCACTCCATGGGGAGCATTTAAGTCAGGCGCCATTTTACAGACGCTTACAACATACCACAATGACTTTCGCACCCTAACGGATACCTATTTACAATCTGAATGGAGAGAAGAAATATAGATAACATGTCTTGCTTGAGGACGTAAGTGCCGTGCCGGGGTTCGAACGCACAACCTTCACATCTAAGGTCAAATATACAAACCACTCGACTACTAATACATGATAATTTGCATAAGAAACTTACCACACAGTAGACAGCGGGATCGACACCCAGCCCCTTATTGAGAGCGTTAGTGATGTAGGCAAGTGGATATTTGAGAGTATCTGAAGGTCGTATAGCATTATCACCGTCCGCTAAGATTCTACATAAGAGAGAGACAGAGAACGAACAAGGATGTTTCGATGTTTTAATATTTTTTTTTTTAAATTAAGATAACAGACTATTTATTTGTAAGAAGCTTTGCCAAATGGAGGTGTTTTTGTCAAGGTGAAGACCAAAAAAAATTGGGTTCTTTTTTAAATGTCAATTTGGCAGAGTTTCATAGAGGGAAAGTCCCATAAAAGGGCCTCCTCTTTTGTGTGTTATTTTATTTATTATTTCACCTCGTTTTCTTTGTTATCGTTATACTTATATACGTTTTTGGAAATGAAATAGAATGTTAAATGCTCGAATATTAAAAGTATGACGAGAAAAGTCTGAGGTGCTGGGACCAAACATCTCTACCGCCTGTGTGTAGTCCTATATAATATACATCTTAATGTGTACAGTGCATGACTTTAAACAAGATTCAGTCAATTACTTACAATAATTGTTATGACTCCCAAACCTCACAGTATACACCAATTTATATTTATCATTTTGTTATATTATTTATTTTTATTTTTGCATAATGACATAACTGCAATATTTAAGTAAACGTAATACAAAGTTTTGGTATGGGGTCATGAATTTGGTTCAAATGAACATATTGGAAGCATATGCGATTTTACAATACTTCATGATCGTTGTCGCTGTTGAAATCAAGTCTAAAGTCATGAAACTGTAAACAATAAACTCTCAAGTTGTATAGCTCCCTCTCGAGACTGATTTACTCTAGCCTTAAAACAATGTTTCTTGACTACAATCGACCGATTTGCTATTCCCGTTTGGAAATTATATATCAGAACTGCATTTTGAGATTTTCATGGTCGCAGCTACCATGGAATGGTGTTTTAGGTGCTAATTTTTCTAGTTCTTATGATACATCTACAGGTGCATCCAAATATATAAAAATTCTAAAGAATTACTTTCCATCCAATTTTCAAAATTTCCCAAAACTTTTGCGATACCTTTAAGTAAGTATAAACTTGATAATCAAAAGCTCATCAAATACACGGAACTTATGTACAATGAATAAACTAATCATAACAATAGCGTGAGAGGGAAAAGAAATGAAGAAAGGGAGAGAGAGAGAAAGAAAAAAAGAGGGAGGTCTTGGGTTCAACGCTAAGTTGATGCGCTAGAGCCCTCTGGTAAGGCATTAATTCTCATTACCAATTACCAAGTCCCTCGGAGAAGACTTAAAGCCCCACTGTCCTACTTGTAGCTACTTGCTCCCTCTATATAGAAAACTTCCCCATCGGTGCCTGTTGGTCCCCCATGATCCTCTATTTCTTATGTTATTTGAGAGCTGATGAGATAGCCACCTGTCAGTGACCTCACTGTGTGGTCTAATCCCTCCTAGCCACACTAGAGCTGATAAGCTTTAAAGTCGTTGGTCCACGGATTGCTTACTAGGGACTTTTAGATTTGCGTGTGACGTCCATTCAAGACAGTGTATTAAAAGGACGTCGATTGTAGCAATTCACGTTGTCGTTGTGCAAATCTAAAAGTCCCTATTAACAAAGCATACACATACTTTTTTTTTCTTTATGTGTTTTATTGAACAACAAAAAAACAATCACAATATTTACAAGTTATTATAAAAACATTACAAAAAAGCCGTAAAACGTAGATCAAAACCTCACGAAAAGTGAATTTACAACATTTACAACATTATAAAACAGGATTATAAGACAAACTTCCATTTTTTAAAGTGCAAGGGCAGTTTGTTTTCTTTTTTTGCAATACGATATTCAAGATCTTTATTATAGTCAATGTAAGTTCTGAAACCCTGAAAATTGGGTATTTTACTTTGAAATTTGCATAAATAAATGTAGTATTTAAGCATAAGAAATAAATACGTCAAAAACATATCCTTTTCATAGCCAAACATTCTTTCAAATTTTGAAAAATTCACTACTTTATTAATCTTCTCATTAATAGTTTTAATGGTATCATCCCAAATGGGTTTTACAGTCTGACATTCGATGAAAAGATGTAGGTAAGTCTCGGGTTCATTATCGCAAAATGAACAATTAGGAGAATTCTTTCGTTTAATTTTGAACAAAAAGTTATTTAATGCTATGGCTTTATGAAATAGTTTGAAATAAAATGAACGAATGCGAGTGCTTATAGAACATTTGAAATGATCAATATGGATCTTGTCCCAATCAACAGGGTTAGGGTCAGAAAGTTCTTTCCAGAATGTTAATTTTTTTCGGGAACATGTGGCTCTAGTATGACATTATAAGCATATTTGGGAACCTTCCTAGCTTGCACAAATGTATTGACAAAGGCATCAAAGATTACATCATGATTCAGGTCTGTTGAGACCAACCAATCAGAAGGAACATTTTTCATAAGAAAATTGTATTTCCTCCTACCCCTAGGATTAATATCGTAATCAAGTATCAATTCTTCAAAAAGTTTGCTACCAGGGTGAGGAGGATTAAGCAAATCACTTATAAAAATAATACCTTTATCAATCCAACCCTGATACAAAAAATAATTTTTGGATTTTGAGTTAGCAAGTCAGATGAAGCAAGCCAGCAAACCAAAATAACGTTTGTATTTGGCGCCTGAGATGGGTACTTACTTTTTGATGTTGTACTTATCAAACAGCTTTATAGTATTTTTGAAATACTTCATGGGGCTGTTGAATGTCTCCAGATCATTCATACACGTTCCATGTTTTTCATACTCGTGTTTCCTGTCATGAAAGGAAAAACAGTAACACATAGATGACTTAGTCAGGATTTTGCCTTTAACATTATGCGGAGAAACTATAATGTCCAATTCAATAGGCCATTTTCGTAATGTAACCAAATTTAATGCGTTATTCTTTGTAAAGTGCCTCAATACAAATTATTTCATTCACCTGATAAGAATAATAGTATTTCAATGGTCAGAACGCTAACTGCATAATCAAGTGTTGCTAGGTAGGTCAAGCCACAATTGTTGTCCTACCTGGCAACCACTAATGTACGCAATTCGGATTCTGTCTTTTGAAATACTATTATTTTTATCAGGTGAATGAAATAATCTGTATTGAGGCACTTCACAAAGACTTATGCATTAAATTTGGTTACATTACGAAAATGGCCTATTCAGTAGATCATTTTCGTTATGTTATCAAATTTAATGCACAAATCTTTGTTGAGTGCCATGTTACAAATGATTTCATTCACCTGTTATGAATGATTCTTTTTCAATAGTCAGAATGCAGATTTGCATACATCAATTGTTGCTAGGTATGACAAACATTATGGCTTGTCCTACCTAACAACACGTAATAATATGCAATTCGTATTCTGACAATTGAAATACTTAGTACAATTATTCGTAACAGGTGATACGTAATAATTCTAATAACTCGAATCATTGGGTCATCGCGTCGGGTCGGGTGGTCGTGTTACCCGCCCCTTTGTGAAAACATGCCCTTTTATTCACGGAATATCGGGGGTGATGTTGTGAAATAAACCCCTCTCATCTAGAAATGGTCTGGTCCAATTTAGCCGATACCTTGTGAAAACCCTACGGCAAATCTACGAAATCTTCTGCTTTCGTTTCACGCGAGGTCATGTCACTCGACCGGACGCGATGATCCTATGTGATTCGAAGTAAGCCCCTCTGTCCTATAACATACATACCAGAAGTTAATTTTGATTCCACCTTTCTTGTAGGTCGGCCATTTCAAGTTCATTTCATTACGTATATCCTACAATAAAGAATGGTTAAAAGTGAAGAAATAACTTCTTTTGTTTAATTGAAAAATGAAAACAACAACCACAACATCAACAGCAGCAGAAGCAACAACAGCAACAGCAACAACAATTACAACAACAGCAGCTACGAAATTAACAGTAACAACAACAACAGCACGCGTACCACTTAAAGTGTGGACATATCACTAGTTATTTGTGATGATTTAACCAGGTGTTCTTTATAACCAAAGATCATATTGCGAGGTTGAGAACCTCTTGTAATTTAGGTTAGAGATGGAGTGTGTTTAAAGGAAACATCCAAACATAACAGACAACTGCTCCAAATCAGAGAAGCAGACTGGTGAAAGTTTAAATGAAATCGGACCCCAAAAAATAAGAAAATGATGAATTTTGACAGATTTAATCCTTGTACGTATGGGCGCTTCAAATTGACTGAATCGGTAATATCACTGTGACGTAGTGCTTGACAGCTGTGCCATTTGTTCAAACAAAACAAAACAATAACTAAAATATCAATTTTTTAACATGTATTAGTCAGGAGGGTCTTTTCCTTTCAGATGAGCTATCCACAATATATTTTGAGTAGTACCCTACAGGAAAAGGCATTTAGGAGCAAACTATAAATTAACGATATCCTTCTACACGACAATCCACGAACCAAATTGCCTATTGAAATTCGCATAACTATAGAATTATAACTCTTTTATTGTTGGTCCTATTTATTTCAAACTTTCACCGATCGGCTTCTTTTAACTGTTTATTCTATTAATAATTGTAATACAAATAATTATAATAACGACGATGATGATGATAATAATAATAATAACAACGATGATGATAACAATATTACTGATGAATATAATAATAATGGTTTTAATAATGGTTTTAATAATGGTTTCTTGTATGCTGCTAATGTCTGTCAGACTTGACACTTTTGGCGCTTTGCAGTAATTACCCCGGCTTTAGAAGAGCTGCCATTATGGTGCTCTTTATAGCATTGCAATTAATTAATGTTGCAGGGATTCGAACCCACTACCCTGTGCTTCACACTCCGGTGACTTATCCACTAGACCATAATACTTCTAATGAATCGAATTGTCTACACAGAAATCTTTATTTTTCCTGATGGCATAAATGTCTTTTGATGGGAACTGGTATTGTGGCGATGATACAGGCAATAAATCCAGGCACCTGTCGTTCTTAACTTCATCTTTATTTGAAAATACAGATATTATGAGATAGAAATGTAAGTTATTGCTAAATATAAGAGTTTTGAAACGACAGAAGGTAATGTGTTTATTTTAAACTTACATTGATCTCATCATTAATGAACTCCCCAGTGCAGTCTATGGGGGTGTTTTTCATATTGCTCTTAAACGGCCTGCAAAGAGAGAAGGAAGTTTTACATGTATGTCAAAGCCCCTACTGAAAATAAATCTGATTGCCGATCCATACTTGTCGTCTGCAATATTTGTTGATCTGAGCAAATACCTTTTAAAGTTGTGTGTCTGGCAAATTTTGGAATCTAAGGACCATATTGTGGCCTTGCTTCTAAAAAATAAATGTTTAGCAGTTGTCTGCTCATTGCAAAGCTTTCCCATCCTACCGGTTAAAATGTATGCATAGTAATCCAACGACCCCCGCCCCTCCTAAACGTTATATCTTAGCCTCTGATTATGGGTTCACTTAAAGTCTACCAATCACTTGAAGAAAAAAAAAAGACTTGTGTGTAGGTAGAATGTATAAAAAATCAACCTCAAAAAGCTTTACCTGGTATTCTATAGGTAAAGTGATCAGGAGCATAAGAAAACAAAGGATAACATAAAAACCCGCATAGAGGGCGCACACAGAATACAATTAAGTCTACTCAACAACATACCCGTTGTGCTGTTCAGTATAAATTGCAATATTTCTTTGCAGAAGTAATATTTGACTCTTATATTTCAATACAACAAACCGACACGGAGCCCCTTTACATCAAAAGTAAAACATATTTTGGTGATTGGTATATTTTAACTTTCTCTCTACTTCAATGAATGAATTAAGCAATTAAGAAACGAGGTAAAATTCAAAGTGTTTAATTGTATAAATCCAAGACTATCATAACTTTAAGGCCTGTCGCAACATTATTATTTTGATAATGCCATTTTTACTTCATCTGTTTCCATGTAAGTGTCAGCTTAAAATTAACGACTTGCAAATAATTCCATAACCAATCATCCACTAGTTTATAAAAAAGTGGATGTATTTGTTTCTTGGTCGGAAATCTATCAGGAGAAACCCCCTGCCCCTTCTTCAAATAATCTGGTGGTGTTTTAATACTGTTCTCTTAGATGTTACACTCACCATAGCCCGTGGATGGTCCAATTCTTCTTGTATGTACTAATGATTTCGCAATTTGCCTGTAAAATGTTAACAAATCCATAAAATATTAAATTTCTTGACTAGCTATGGCTAAGACATGATTACTCAGCTCATATGCAATTAATAAAACAGTAAACATTTATAATTTTTTATATCATGGCTTCTAATTAATATATTTAATATTTCAATCACTCAATATTAACATGTGTTCTTTCAAATTGTAAATTGCGCCTACTATATTTAGTAAATAGATGGAGAATAGTGATTTTACAATTACATATAGTCAATTCTAGGCGTAACGGAGTGACATTTCGGAGCATTTCCAATTTTGAATAAAGAATATCATAGAAATATTGATAAGATTTACATGTAAATATTTATACTAATAAGAGGTTATCTAATAGGAGTTAAGTCTCCTATCAACCTTTCTTCAAATTTATAAAATATGTATTTTAAATAACTTTGTTACATAATTACCACAAGTTGAAATGTCATTCGTTGAAACGTTTTGAATCACGAAAAGGATAAAAAGTCCTTACATTTATCATATTTTGCACAGTGTATACTTTTTTTCATTTGGTAATTATGTACCAAAAACTCATTGATTTTCATTGCGAAGTAGTAAAGGGTTGCCCTGAATTAAAAACAAGCAAACATACAAAACATAAATGAGTTACTGAAATATGATAAACAAATAATGAAGTGTCTCACCTTCTCACAAAAAGATGGCCCCCAAGTGTTGACTAGAACTAACTTGTCATATTCAACCTCTTCACTGTATGCCAAGAGAGAGATAGATAGAGAGGGAGTGAAGAGAGACAGAGATAAAGATAGAGAGAGAGAGAGAGAGAGAGAGAGAGAGATAGATAGAGAGGGAGTGAAGAGAGACAGAGACAAAGATAGAGAGAGAGAGAGAGAGAGAGAGAGAGAGAGAGGGGGGGAGTGAGGAGAGACAGAGATAGAGAGAGAGAGAGAGAGAGAGAGAGAGAGGGGGGAGTGAGGAGAGACAGAGAAAGAGAGAGAGAGAGAGAGAGAGAGGGGGAGTGAGTAGAGACAGAGATAGAGAGAGATAGAGAGAGAGATAGATAGAGAGGGAGTGAAGAGAGACAGGGACAAAGATAGATAGAGAGAGAGAGAGTGAGAGAGAGAGGGAGAGACAGAGACACACACATATATATAGAGAGAGAGGGAGAAAGAGAGAGAGTGAGAGAGAGAGACAGAGAGAGAGAGAGAGGGAGTGAGGAGAGGCAGAGATAGAGAGAGATAGAGAGAGAGATAGATAGAGAGGGAGTGAAGAGAGACAGGGACAAAGATAGATAGAGATAGAGAGAGTGAGAGAGAGAGGGAGAGACAGAGACACACATATATATAGAGAGAAAGAGAGACAGAGAGAGAGGGAGAGAGACAGAGAGAGAGACAGAGAGTGAAGAGAGACAGAGAGAGAAGAATGGAAGAAAGAGAGAGAGAAAAGAGAGAGAGAAACATAATGAATAAAGAGCGATAAAAGAGAGAGTGAGAGGGAGAGAAGAGAGAGAGAGAGTGAGAGGGGGAGAGAGAGAGTGAGAGAGTGAGAGGGAGAGAGAAGAGAGAGAGAGAGAGAATAACTCTTGTCGAAGTTCACAACAAGCTTGTACTAACAAATAACATCATTTCTCTATTTGCTTCTTTTTAGAGTATGAAATAAAGCTTAGATATTTCTTCCAATTTAAGGTTACTGAAATATGTATTCGTGAAAACTTGTTTTTCATTGTTGATTTTCCCCTCTCTTTGCATGGTTCCACTTTTTTTTTCTTACGCTTGTACCTTCTCCAGAAAAGTTATCCCTTTCAGCAACTAATCTGTGGCATTTTTTTTGTGGGAGGAAAACACTGCTTTATATCAAGAACATCAATCAATAATCATTAAAATCATAATAAAATCGTAGCCCAACGGAAACGGAAGAAAAAGAATATATATTTACAAAACTTGGCGGAAGAGCTCTCGAAAGGACCTTCCTTCAATGGTGTTCATGCAGCACAGGGCAACGAGAATAATCAAAATAGAAATGCGCGCCATTTCTAGAGCAGAAATCCGAGTGAAACCTGAAATTGACAAGGTGTGCTGTCGATATCCCTTCGATGACCAGTGTTGTCCGCTTCTTGAAAGAGATGTCGTCTGCTCCTAGAAGTATCCGTTTACTCAGTGCTGGCGCTGGACTTCAGCAAAGAATAGTTATGTGGGCATTTGGTTTTACCTTTTATTTGAGGGCATGGTGAAAATGTAAGGGCATCCAAGACGATCAATCACTCTTAAAAGTTAGTCTTTGAGTGACAGCTTAGACATGAAGAGCCGTCTGAGTTCATTTAATACAGCGTATTTTCTTAGACGACAAAGAACAACTGGACAGTATAGAGAGACAGTTAAGAGCGATAGATTGATGGGGAAAGTGATTGATGAGCAATATGCCCTTTTCATATAATACCACCCTGGTAACATGTGAGCTGAACGAGAATTTCTGGATGAGATATGTAAAAGAAATAACTCTACGATCATTATTTTCTTCATTGCTTGATAAAAGAATTCCGCTGATGTCATGTTTTGACTAGTTTCGTTACATTGCCAATTCTAATTCATATAGTTTAAATCAAACTACCGAAAAGGTTTACAATCATGTTTTTGTTGTTATATTTTCAATACCAAGCTTGGTGCCGAGCAGTTCACCAAGGTGCCTCAATTTTTGAGCATAATAACAAGATAAGAGCAAGTGAGAAGAGACAAGCGCCGAAAAAAAATCGGAACAATAATACAACATCCTTATATTCTCAGACCTATACCCCTGGACACCTACTGTACCAAGCCATCTCTTTCCTGCATAAGGCTCATCAGTCACCAGCAGGCTTGCACAGACCGTTCGCGAAGAAGAGAAAAGCCAATCAATCAATCGATCAATCAATAAATCAACCAAACAACCAACCAACCAACCAATCAACCAATTAATAAAACAATCAATCACTTAATCAACCAATCAACCAATCAATAAAACAATCAATCAACCAACCAATCGATCCATCAATCAATCAACCAACCATTCATTCAATCATTCAATCGATCAATCAATACATCAATCATTCAAGCAAGCAATCAATCAGTCAATCAATCAATCAATCACCATGTCTTTGCACTAGTACCTTCATAGCTGCCTTGTAGAACAATCGTTCCTCATTATGATGATCGGGTGTATTTTCTCTTTGTTTTCTCTTTGAGTAGATTTGCCTTAAATATTTGGTAAACGTTTCTCTAAGAATTAAAAAAAAACGAAAGAGGGTGACTTTATGGCATAGTCCATTTTTGTAATGCAACCAAATTTCATGCATACATCTTTAAGTGAAGTGCCCCGATATGAATTATTTTCATTCACCCGTTAGAATAAATCATTTCAATACTCAGAATGTAAATTGCCTATATCACTTGCTTTTAGGTAGGACAAGCCTTAATGTTTGTCTTACCTAGCAAGATCTAATGTATGCAATTCGCTTTCTGACTTACGAGATCCAATAGACAGTTTTACTAACATTTCAAATTCATGCTAAATTTTTAAATAAAGGTTGTTCTTGACACACTGAAAGCTTTCCCGACGGTTGCCCGACATAGAAACAAATAATGTATACACGTTGGGTTCCAAGAAATGTAGTTTATTCATTAATAACAGGTTAATTGAGAAAATCGTCACTAGGTCCCCAGGAAAGAAACATTCATAAATTTGAATATATTAACAAATCACTATATCAATGTAACAGGTAAATGCAATAACTCGTATTAAAAAACGAGGTACGTCACAAAGACGTATGCTTAAATTCAATTACAATACGAAAATGGTCTTAATGGTTTAAAAAAGAATATCATGTAGAGTGTGCATGTGCATAAATGACTAGTGATTGAACTTCTAACTGAAATAGATTTAATTGTAACAGTATGAAACTGAGTTAGTAAAAGAAAATGACAATAGCTACATTAATAATGCGCATATTACGCTCAAAGCCCACCGCACACTATCTGATCTTCCTACGATCCAATTTTCGAAGCAATTGCAATTATACTAGATATATAAATCTGAACAAACATCATCTTCCAGTTCCTGATGTAGGTTCTGAGTAATAATAAGAATGCTAACAAACGGAATGATAAGGCATTAAAGCTTTCTAGTCAGAATAAAGCCGAATCGAATCATAACAAATCGCACAATTGGTATGACTTCACTAAGATTCTGAGACGATTTAACTATTCCTCTTCCAAAGAAGCATGATTGTATAAATCATATACGTATTCAAATCATAGATCGTTAGGATTTTAAATGTTTGAATGATCGCATGAAAAACTATGGCAAATTTTTCCAAAATCGGATCGATTTTCCTGTTATTTGGTACTCTAATTCTTTTGAAATATTCTCATTAATTCGTTAACATTATTTAAAAGAAACTTGAAGCAGCATCTTATATATCTAAATATCAATGATTCTTGTACCAAGAATTATGTAATTCAACATTACCTATACATTTTTTCAAACTTATGATTTTGTAATGATTATTTCCATTTGTATTACCTACCATGAACGATGTCCATGTTTTGTCAAGTATCTTTCTTTTTTAGTTTTGTTTGTATATGAGTGTTTGTTTGCTTGATTGATTTTATTTCTGTGTTCAAATAACAAATATAAGGTTATACATTTTTACAACATACATAGCTAATCATGTCTAATAATATTATACAATAACCATAATACAAACCATAAAAACAAGTATAACAGATATTTGTATATATTTTTCATTAAACTAAAGAGATAAATTTTAGAATGCAGAAATAATGTTCGGGGAACTATGCCTTATTATTTATCGACAAGGCCATTTGGCCTTTTTTTTTTAGTTCCCTATTTTCATTTTCTTATATATTGCAAATGCTTATTATTGTTTATATCTTTGTATGGTTTTATTGAAAATGAAAATTAATAAAACGAATTTAAATTAATTGAATTGAATTAAAAGTCAGGTGGTATAGTGAGCGGTCGGTTCTAGAATCCTACACAGTAATACATGTATTATTATCCTGGCTTTACCTAAGCCGAATGGCGCTCATTCAGAAATAACTACACCTGATACCCAGTGTAGGATACTTTGTAATAACGTTACTCGTTCATATAATGGCGTTGATCAATGCATGAATAACATTTCGATCGTTCAATCTTTGTGTTAAACTTTTTTTTTCTACAACGATTTCGGGGGAAAAGACCGATATTTGGTAAAACATGCAGTTAATAATAGATTAACTCGATTCAAAATGCCCGTTAATTTGAAGATGTTGGTAGAGCGTAATCTGGATTAAAAGAGAGATAAAACTTGAATTAAAGGATTTTTTTTTCTAATCATGCATAAGGTATAGAAATTAAAGATAAGCTTGAGTTCTCGTAATGATAGAAAATACATTCTCACAAAATCCGACAAAACTTACACTGAATGTTCAAGATCACAAATAAATGACATGTGCCAAACGCGTTTGGTAGAAAATATACATGGGCTGAATAATGAGAAAAGAAAGATAAGGAAATCAAGGTAAGTAGGCCCAATACCACTATGTGCAAAGAAGAGTTGCGCTTTAAAAAAAAAGATGATTTCCAGCAAGTTTTGTGAGTTTGTTTTTATTTTACTGGTTCAAACAATCAATTTACTGCAGAATGAACAATCCAGAATAGATTATAGCCATGTTCTCTAAACATACGATTCCCATATACCAGAGCTCAAGATTAGCTTTAAGAGTGATTCCCCATAGTAATAGATGTTACAGAAGTTACTGAGTTTCCAAAGACAGCCCGCGTCTTATTCTTCCTTTTCCCACATGTCATTGAAGAGGGTCTCCAACAAAGGCCTGCCGTCATCTTCCTCTTCCCCCGTCATCATCATCTCCCTCGCACCCATGTCAGCGACATCGAGCAGGAATGGCAAGTCGAGATCGTGGGATGCTCCCTGCTGGGAACTAACGGGGATCATGAAGCTGTCGAAAGGGGGGAGTTTAACTTTTTTGAGGCCGCATTTACCCCCTCCTACTAGCTCATTACCACATGTGATTGGCTTGAGAGTCTTGTCGAAACACATGCGAACTTCTTGCAGGTACTGTTCATTCTTCTTCTCCTGTAATTGATTTAATAATAAGAATAAATCAATTAATTGATTATAATTATTTTATTTTATTTCCCAAGGTGGCCACATACCTGCGGGCATTGCATCTATTAATACGGCAGTCTAGAATAGTGATAGAGAGAGAGAGAGAGAGAGATGGAGAGGTATCGTTTCGGTTTCGTCATACAAAGGACTACTTGGTATTGTATGGATATAGGTAGAGAAATTAAGAGAGATATTCTTTCGAGAGAGGAGTCCTGAGAAGGAATAGTGAACCAGGTTATGAATGCGAAGAGAGATCGAGGATGGACTTTCAGAACAGCTTGACTGCTCGTCATCAAGACTAAAGTGATAGACTACCTCTCTCTCACTCTCTTTTCCATCCTCTTTCAAACCCAACATCCCTTTTTAGAACGACACCGCGCACTTTTAAATTTAGTTTTTACTTTTGGAATTACGAGGGGAATAACTAATCATGTATGTATGACTATGACTTCACTTTATGAGGAGAGTCTTCAGAAGAGGACCGGGGGGGAGGAGGGGAGGGGGTGCGCACATTACGTAAAACCTGCTGTGAAATCAACTCTTAACCCTTACTGTACTGGGCTATTTCGAGCACTCTCTGACTGGGGGGGGGGGGGGTCTGGGAGGCCTCCCCCCCCCATGATCTCGGTCGTCGAATGTCCGATGAACGCGAAAATGTGCATGTTTGTAGATATTTACGTAAGGAACAAGATGGTATAATTAGTTTTTTTCTAATATTCAAATTTTTGTCGTTATAGCCTAATTAATTATGCAAAATGCTAATGTTATGCATTTTACAGAAAACTCTACATATTTGTCCGTAGACTTGTGAAGAATCTTGAAAATGTATTGAATAAATGTTTCCTTCATCTCAACTTCATGAGGTTTCATTATTTTTTACGATATTTGAAAATGCATAGGTTAATTTGCATAAATTATGAATACGCATTCATGAATATTAAATCTGGAAATATATATAGGGAACTAGAATCATTACAAAAATTGTCAGAGTCCACTTTTTGAATGTTGAAACTCATTATTCATATGAAACTTCTTTTCTAACACAAAATAGTTATTTGATGTAATTAATAATGATAATTTATGGGAATTTGATGCGATTTTCAACAATTTATTTTCTTATGTATTTTATTGTTTTTTATTTCTTATTATATCTATTGTTTTATTTCTAATGTATCCTTTTGTTCTGAAATACATCAAGTTACTTTGAGAAACATATAAAAGCAATTTGATATCAATTCATATTTTCACATTTCTGCTTGTACTGAATATATGCAATTATAGCACTTTTTGATGACATGCGCATACTAATTGTTATGTAAGACCTTACAGGTATATCCGATTTCGACGAAAATGGTATCAAAATGTGCGTAAGACTTGAGGGAAAAAGTCATGAAACGACAATTTAAAATTCCGAGCGGTTGCGGCGCAATCTCCGAAAGTGTCGGGGGGGCCTCCCAGGCCCCCCCCCCCCCCCAGGTACAGTAAGGGTTAACGGGCTTTCACACCGGGGCTTGCGTAGAGTTGCGTAGTGTTGCGTAACGAATACGCCGAGCGATAGCTGCCCTACGCCAGTCTACCTAACTGTACGCTGAGGGACGCAAATTGGTACACGAGATGGACGCAAAAAAAATATTTAAAAAAACAAAAATTGTTTAAATATGTTTAATTTTTTTCGCGTACCTTCGGCGTAGACAATATACTCAGAAAGTACGCAAGTCTACGCTACGCAACATTACGCTACTGTACGCCAGGCCTACGTAAATGTACGTAACCCTACGCCGAAGCAACATTTTTAGGTACGCGCACAGGGTACGTGACCATACGCAATCGTACACAAGCCTACGCATAACCTACGCCGGGACTACGCCGAATCTACATTTTTTTCATGAATACGCAGCCCAATTTCGGCGTAGTCGGTACGCCACACTACGCTACTCTACGCAGATCCGGTGTGATCGCTCAGACCATTTTTTAACATGTAATTCTATGGGGTAACCATGGAGACTGACCTATTTTCCCAATAACCATGGTTATTGGGATTTTGAACTGTTTTTAACCATGGTTACCGAGAATTTTCGGGAACAGTTAAAGTTTATGAATGCAATTTCGACCAATCAGATTGCTGGATTACTTAAGTGAGGTATATAATTGTTTTTATACGCTCAAGTGAAGGTTAGAATTGTGCTATTGCCCGAGGCGTGCCGAGAGCAATAGCCCAATTGTAACCTTCCCGAGAGCGTATAAAAACAACTATTTCTCGAATATTAAAGCAGTCATTAATACTTTTATATGCTGAAAACAAAAGAGTCAACTAATGACACCACCTTGGCCTTTCTCTAGTTTATCTGCATAGTTGTTTTTTATGAGTGTATCTTTGAGAGTAGACTAGATCTAGATTCTAGTCTAAGCAAGATATTTTTACAATTTTGGGGGTGGGCCGGCCCTGTGGGTAATATGGAGAAGAACCTGCGCTTTCATATGACACCTCACTTATTGAGTATCACCTTCAACATCACAACAGATATAGGTTTGAATCTCGAATTGAAGAAAAAAAAAACTTGACTTTTTTTGCATGGTCGCGTAATGCACGTAGATTGCATAGCGACTGCATTGCGTGCAAACTCTATGAGAAGAATTTTAACACACAACATCGGGTGCGCGATCAGACACCCTGACAACTAGATCCATTTTCGTCTAGAGTCTACGTCTATGCTTTTTCAGCAACTAAACGAACATGTTTATGGATAATTTCACGTACCCTTTTTGTTGTTCTTGCTGTCAGCGAGTCTTGTATTTGATAAGTTGAAATCTTGGGAGAGTTTCTTGAGCCATTTTTGTCTTGTTTGGAATTGTCTTGTCTTGTATGAAAATACCGACCAATTCTTCGCACACGTACGGTATCCTCGATCGCTCAAACCATTTTTTTAACATGTAAACCTATGGGGTAACCATGGAGACTGAACTATTTTCCCGGTAACCATGGTTACTGGGATTTTAGAACTGTTTTAACCATGGTTACTGGGAATTTTACAGAAATAGTTAAAGTTTATGAATGCAATTTCGACCAATCAGATGGCTGGATTTCTTAAGTGAGGTATATAATGAGTGATAAAACCTATCGAGTCGCGCACTACTCACCAAAATTCGGTATGAGCAATGTTTGATGGCTTTTTATGAGTTTTTCCAGTATTAGACCCCAAAAAATAAAAAAAATCAGAATGTGTTCGGGATGTGTAAATGGGCGTAATGTGTCCTTGATATAAATCATACTTACGTTACAGTAGACATTAGGGTCGACGCCAAGTCCCTTCTTTAGGGCTGAAGTGATGTCTGCCAATGGATATAAGAGAACGTTAGAGGGCCTTACAGCAGTGTCGCCATTTGCCAAGATTCTGCCAAACACGAGGAGATGAGGCAATAATTCACTTTAAGAAATCGCGAACATAAGTATATACAAGGAACAATGTAGTTTTATAACACACACAAACAATATCAACTTCATACAAACTCGAATCTAAAACGTTGTATTCCGTCATTTATTTCATAATGATTCAAATCATTCTGGTCAGATAAATACGTACTGTTATTTTTTAGACTTACAATGTTTATTTGATTATTAAGCCAATGACAAGAAGAAGAGGAAGAAAAACAAGAATAAGAAGAAGACAACAAAAATGAAGGAGGGGAGGAGGAGGAATAAGAAGATGAATGAAAAAAGAAGAAGATGAAAAAGAAGGAGAAAAAAAGAAGACGAGAATAGGGAGGAGAAGCAGGAGAAGAAAAAGGAGAAGAAGAAGAAGGAGAAGAAGAAGAAAAAGAAGAAGAAGAAGAAGAAAAAGAAAAATAATAAGGAGAAGATGAAGAAAAAGAAGAAAAAAGAGTGAGAAAAAGAAGAAAATGATGATGATGGAGATGAAGAAGGTAGAAGAAGAAGAAGAAGAAGAAGAATGTGGTAAAAGCCATAATACGTACGTTTTTATATCGTATTTGTCATAGAGATCCATGGTACCCTGGAAGTACTTGAGTTGAGAGTCAAACGTTGGCAAATCACTGGCACATGTACCGTGCTTTAAATACTGATGTTTCCTGAATTGAAAAAAAAAACAATAAAAAAAAAACCAATCAATCAATCAATCAGAATAATCAAACCAAAACTAACAAACAAGATAAGAAACAGAATGATCAAACAAGGATTTTTATGGTATTCATTTGCCAAATAAGCATGATATTTATCAAAGTTACATGAGACTTTTGGATAGAAATATGTGTTACAGGTAAAAAATAATATTGTTGTTGGCATAGTATACAGACCATCGCAATCTCACACTGAGAAGTTTATTCTTGGAATTCACATCTAAGTCATGCGTATTGATGGGAGATTTTCATGCTGATCTTTTAAAATATGATTTATATGCATGGGTGTCGATCCCGGGGGGGGGGGGGGTGGGGGGATATATCTCCCCCCCCCCAATATTTCAGGTGGGGGGTGGCCTGTACAATCATCCCCCCAATAATTCACCATCAGAAAAAAAAATGAAGAGAAAAATTAATGATGAGAGCTCAATGAGAGTAGTTAATGGTTATTACTCGCAAGATGACGATCAATATACACATTTTGCTATCACATTTTCATAATACATACATATATATGAAGTAAATGAGACAACCGTATATGAGACAAGAATAAATTGAATTCTCGCTCAAACGGCTTCATCAGGAGTTGATGAATTTATTAAATTTGTTAAATCAACAGCATCATAGAAATGCAGTGCGCCAAATGCAAAGACGCAGCGTCAAAAAGCAACGAGCTAAATGTTAAGCGCGAAGCGCAAAAGTATCAATCTGCAATGCACATCAGACAATCCTGGACAGTGTAAACATAAACTCTGTGTCGAATTCGTGATGAGATCGGAGACAAGGAGAAAGATTTGTGGACATTAGTATGACTTATAAGATAGTTCACTAGTTGTTATGTTGTTTCCGTTCACCTTTTTAAATTCACGTCATTGTATCTTTATTTTTATTTCCTGATATTTCCTAAAACATTTTTCATTTTTGGAGAAAGATTATTATCATGTCACAACTTATTTTTGTTTTATTAAAAGGCTGATGTAGGCCTATGTCAGTGGCGTACTGGTGGGGTAGGGGGGCTGGGGCACTAGCCCCCCCCCCCTCCCCCAAATAAAATCCAACCATGACTTATTTTCAATTTCATATAAGTGATTTATAAATGTTCGTGATATCGCATGATTCTCAACAAAATTCGCGTTTCTCTATTTCTGTTGCAAACTGACACATTCCAAAATAGCCAGGAAGAGCATATATTTTGTATAGTCACTAATGGGGCTATTAGCCCCATTAAATTAAAAAATTAGTGGCCGTTAACACTAACAGTAGTATACAATTCCTTTCGAGAAGCTATTGCGACAAGCACTGCCGGGAGATAACATGCTACCCACCACTCGGGCTGTGCATGCAAAGATTTGCGAACGAACGTTCAATACGTACATCATGTGGGGAAACTGGATTCAGACAAGGTATTATAGAGAACAGTACAACGAATCGTCTTCTTTCTCTAACAATTTAGTGAGAAGGGCAAAACTTGCGCACTTTGCGCGGAAGGAAGGGGGCAACTGAATTCAGACTAGGATTAAGAGTTATAATTAAATGAAACGTCAAAGTACACCATGCAACGAATCGTCTTCTTTTACTAATAATTTAATGAAACGGTAAAGCTTCCGCGCTTCGCGCGGGATGGGCGAAAATGAATACAGACAAGGATTAAGAGTAATAATTTATTCAAAGGTCGAAGCTTCCGGGCTTCGCGCGGTAAGGGGGGGGGGGACTGAATTCATGAAGGACACGATACAACAAATCATCTTCCTTCTCTAATAATGTAATAAAATGTAAAAGTTTCCGCGCTACGCGCGGAGGAAGGGGAACTTGATTCAAACATTAAGGATTAAGAGTCGAGAATGGTACATGTACATCAAATCGTCTTCTTTCTTTAATAATATAATGAAACGTCAAAGCTTCCGCGCTACGCGCGGAGGAAGGGAAACTTGATTCAAACATTAAGGATTAAGAGTCGAGAAAGGTACATCGAATCGTCTTCTTTCTTTGATAATCTAATGAAACTTCAGAGCTTCCGCGCTACGCGCGAAGGAAGGGGAACTTGATTCAAACAAGGATTAGGAGTCGAGAATTGTACATCGAATCGTCTTCTTTCTTTAATTATATAATGAAACGTCAAAGCTTCCGCGCTACGCGCGGAGGAAGGGAAACTTGATTAAAACATTAAGGATTAAGAGTCGAGAATGGTACATCGAATCGTCTTCTTTCTTTAATCTAATGGAGCTTCAGAGCTTCCGCGCTACGCGCTCCCCTAAAATGAAATCCTGGCTACGCCCTTGGGAGGGGGTGCAATTGCCACACGCTTCTACCTCTTGGTTGCTTTGATCCATTGCCGAAAATATTATGGCACCTATCATCCCCCCCCCCCCCCAACCATGGATACGAATCGACACCCTTGTTTATATGCATTTGTAATGGATTTTGTGAGTACTATGGCTTCAATCTCATTACTGCCACTCATAACAAAACCAACAAGGGCAGCAGAAAATTCCAAAACCATCATTGACAATATATTTTACAACATGCAGCCTTTCAAGATCGAGGAATTATTCTATCAGATATTTTAGACCACTATCCTATATTTGTTTTTTGTTCTTTGACACAGAAACAAGAATCCGGTCCACACGAAACGAAGAATCTGCGTAAAATTACCCCCCAAAATGTGAATAATTTTAAAGCTTAACTTTGAAATGTTGATTGGACCAAAGTCTTAATTGGAGAAAAAGACGTAAATATTTAATGATAAATTTTTTGAACATCTTTATTCAACTTTACAATGAAGCTTTCCCGATACAAAATCTCAAACTCTCAAGTAACAAAAAGACTCCTCGAATGCCTTGGGTCAATTTTACTTTTTTTTCAATCAATTAACAGGAAAAAATAGACTGTTCTACAAATACAAATGTAACCCCACGAATAAAAATCGTTTGAAGTACACTTTAACCTCGGCCGTCGAATATCCGATGAACACGAGAATTTGCATGTTGGTAGATATTTACGTAAGGAACAATATGGTACAATTTTATGCATTTTACAGAAAACAGGAAACATATTTGTCTGTTGACTTGTGAAGAATCTTGAAAATGTATTGAATAAATGTTTCTTCATCTCAAATTTATGAGGTTTCATCATTTTTATGATATTTGAAAATGCATAGGTTAATTTGCATAAATTATGAATACGCAAATTACACATTCATGAATATCAAATCTGGAAATATACAGGGAACTAGAATCATTACAAAAATTGTCAGACTCCACTTTTTGAATGTTGAAACCCATTATTCATATGAAACTTCTTTTCTAACACAAAATAGTTATTTTGATGTAATTAATAATGATCATTTATGCAAATTTGATAAGATTTTCAATTATTTATTTTCTTATGTATTTTATTGTTTTCATTTTTTATTATATCTATTGTTTTATTTCTAATGTATTCTTTTGTTCTGGAATACAATAAATTACTTTGAGAAACATATAAAAGCAATTTGAAATCAATTCATATCTCCCACTTAGGAAGAAATACATCTAAACCTGTATTCACATTCTGCTTGTACATGAATATATGCAATTGTAACACTTTTTGATGACAAGCGCATACTAATTGTTATGTAACACTTTACAGATACATCCGATTTCGACGAAAATTGTATCAAAATGTGCGTAAGACTTGAGGGGAAAAAGTCATGAAACGACAATTCAAAATTTCAAGCGGTTGCGGCGCAATCTCTGAAAATGTCGGCGCCGCCCCCCCCCCCCAGCCAGTACAGTAAGGGTTAAAAGGACGTCACACGTGACTGTCTATTGTAAAATGATAGGTTAAAACTTTGGATATATACTTCAACCGGAAATAGAATAATAATTTCACTACAAGATAAATTATTTGGTTTAAGAGGTTCAAATAATTATGCATTGAGTTGTATACTGATTGTGGTTCGACGAAAGGTGTACACTTGCAAAATAAAGAAGAAAATGACGGACTTTGATAAGATTAGAGTTTCGATTATAAATTATTTCATAAATGAAAAGTATATTACAGATTCGAATTGTAGAAATAATAAATTCACAGAGAAAATGGTTTCAATTTAGGAATTTGTTTATATAAAAGGATATGTTTTAAATATTGGTTTATGTTTTTTCTTTTTTAATCATTATCAGTGGTCACAACAAAAGTAATTGTATTGCCCAATAATCAAACGATAATAATAGTGTGTCTTTTGTATTGTTTTCCCCTCCCCCCCCCCCCCCATGAATATCAGAAATGCATTTATATTGAAAACGTGTATGTCTTCTGTTAACTCGACAGTTCAACAAATATTTGTATCTTAAGAAGTCAATTGTTTTTATATTACTGTATAAAAGTAAGTTACCTTGAATATTATGTTTGTTAATTTGTTGCAAATGAAAATCATTAAATTCCTTGTGGAGGGAAAAGTATATACTTGAAATACCTGAAATAAATATTACGAGATATATACCAAGCGAAGATATTTAAATGGTGAAAATCATTGTACTTTATTTCCAACTACAACTTTTTGGACCATTTACACATAAATTGTCGATCGGAATATCACAGGAATAGACAAAAGAAACGTTGCTTCCAAACACACTTTTCAAAAAGAGATTTAAAAAAGATGGGAAAGTAAGTCAAATATTGTCACGTGCGCTGTTCCTCAGGGATCTCACTTATAGGCTAGGACAAATATCACATTTTTTAGGTAAACCTCAAACAAATTGCAATACATTTTTTTTTACTGCCATGCATTTTAGTAAGGTCCCCCAAATGACATACTAAAAGTCCGAAAAAATCCGTGTAGTAGAAGTGACCCTAATTTGCATAAATCCAATATGGCCGCCATTTCGAGGATTTTCACATAGATTTGTCATATTGTTCAACTTGTATGGGCTGTTGTGGCATTAAACAAATTGCAAACAAATATTTTTTACTGC